TTCGGGAAACGATGTAGCAGACTTTACTGTAAGTAAATAAATATTTATCTCTGTAAGGAAGGGAAAATATCGGTTTAATCTGTATGGTGATCAACAATATGGTCATCATAACGTCATTTACTGGACGTTTTTAAATTCGACCATTATTAAATTCGCCTTTTATCTAAGAACAATAAGAACACTTGGATATCCCGAAGCTGTCGACTACCCCGAAGATGCCATTTTCGATTCTTACCAGTTGGCAAACTATCTCTTACTCATCCTAAATTAACTAAAATATTAAATACCGTATATACTGTATTAATTACCCTCCCTCAAATAATTACCCAACCTCTATTAGTTACCCCCTCCAGCGAAAGGTTGAAACAATAATTACCCCTTAGATATGTAGTTATATTTAGCCTTCCTAAAATAACCTCTATTAATACTCCATCACTATCAATTAGAGTTGGCCGGTATCGGGATTTAGAGAAAAACCCGGGATCGGGATTTTGGAATGGTGATCCCGATCCCGATCCCGGATCCTGACACGGGATCGGGATTGGCCGAAATCGGGATCGGGATTTGGACTGGAGATCCCGATCCCGGTCCCGATCCCGAATCGGGACCGGGATTGAAAACTCGGGATCGGGATTTACTAAAAAAAATTTTTTTAACTTTTAAATTTTTATTTTCTTCACAAACGACTTAATATAATTCTAAAATTTCCACTGCGGTGCTAAAATATTGAGTTAAAGTCTCATAGACGCATGATTTACTTTCCGATTCAGGGTATTAAGGGGGGATAAGGTAATGGGGGGGGAGGATAAATGGGATTGGGCTTTTGATTTTCAAAAAATTTGCACCTTTTGAAAAGTTTGGCACCTTGGCTTCCAAATTTTGAAAAATTTTGAAGGCCAAGGTGCCAGATTTACTCCCTTTTAAGCGCCGCAGGCAATAATTTTTAATCTTGGAAGGCCAAGGGCATGTAAGTCTAAACGTTCAAGTCTACATGATTAAATGCGTTACGTTCAAATGTTACGTTCAACGTTCAGCGTTACGTTCAACTGAAATTGAGTGATCCCTCGGTTCTCTTCAAATCTAATTCAATCACTGTAAATCCACCGATATCCTTCTATGCCCCAAATCCACCTATACTCCCCTCAACCCCTCTTGATCACTCGATATCACACCAAATCACTCAATATTTCGTCGAAGTTTTATAGACAGCTTTGTTTAGATTTGCTCCTTTTCTGCGCCGCAAGCGAAAATTTTGAGAATTTTGAATGTCTAGATGCCAAATTTCTTCCATTTTCTGCGCCGCAGGCGAAAATTTTTCTTAATTTCATGCCTCCCCTCTTCTGTTAACTTTAATTCACAGACTTCTAGTCAATTTATAAAGTCGGGATTTGCATCGGGATCTGATGCACATCCCGATCCCGATCCCGGATCCCGGCTCGGGATTGAAATTGGCCGGGATCGGGATATTTATTTCGGGAGCGGGATCAGAAAAATCGGGATCGGGATTTGAAAACCCCGGGATAATCCCGCCCGATCCCGACCGGGATCCCGATCCCGGCCAACTCTACTATCAATTACCCTCGCTAGAGACCGAAACAAGCATTACCCAGGGTAATTAATAGAGTATATACGGTATTTTACTACATATCTTGGTATCATTCACCAAGCTCGAAGAGCTCCTCGAATAATATATAATAAATTATATATCAAATAAAAAAGCTCGAAATGGTCAATGAACGGGAAAAGAGAATGGTCAGCAGTGCTTCGAACCAAAATTCGTACTCGTATCTCGTACTCGTACCTGGTACGAAGTACGAGCAAAAAATGGGGGTGGTACGAGGTACGGTACGAGTACGAGGCCAAAAAAAGAGGAGGTAGAGTACGAGCAAAATCGAAATTTCAAAGCACTGATGGTCAGCGAAACTATTACCAAATTCTTTAAAAAATTATTCTTTAAAGTTCAATAACAATACTAAATGTAGACTTGGACTGACTGATGATGGATCAGACCTATTAACATTTTCAATACAAATTCTCCATAATTATTGTTTTTTATTTGATACTTTATTGAAACAAATAGTTTTTGCACCTAAAGTGGTGAAATCGGAAGATATGGAATGGATTTATTGTTATTAAAGAGATAGAAAAAATTTGAAATTTAAGTAGTAAATGTTATTATAATGTTAATTTATTTTGAAGAATAAAAAATGCTTATCAGTAGACACGCTTAGACATTCTGTGACACTTGCAGACCAGGGCTGGGCTGAATAAAAAATTTTTATTTCGAAACGAAACGAAATAAAAAAATTCCTATTTCGTTTCGTTCCGAAAAAAACGAAGGATAAAAAGAGCAAGAAAGAGCGAAACGAAACGAAATTTCGCCCAGACCTATTGCGGACCGACACTTGAAAATTTTGGACTGACATTTTAAACTAGACATTCGAGACAGTTTTTGACTCAAAAATGCTCTCAAATGTCGGTCCGTAAATGCCGAAATACAATAGAAAACGACAAGTTTTTCAGCGCTTAAAATTTATTGAAAATTAAGGTTCAACTGTAAGGTTATCGGCAGTGCTTATAAATTTCAATTTTGCTCATATTCGTACTTCAGACTTGCTTTTTTGGCCTCGTACCTCGTAACCGGATTTCGTACCAAAGTATGAGTACGAATTTTTGTTTAAGAACTAGCAAAGCACAAATAGAAATTTTCTAACTAATTTTATTTTAAAATGAGTAATTGAAAAGGAAGTTAACCTCTAAAAAATATAATAATTAGATAACGACCAATTTTCTCCCAAAATTTTTTTTAATAAAATAGCATGATAACATTTCCTTCACAATTAGTGTTAAAATTTAATATTTAAAGAAGCTACTCATCTCCAAAAAATTAAATTAAAACACCCAAAAATGTTGACTAAAAATAAATTTTCCTTCCCTCTAATTTTATTTTTCACCATTTATTTATTTTTCTGTTTAAATTGGAATTATGTTGAATCGAAAAATTTGGAAAGCCGAAATCTTGAAACTTTAAAAATTAAAGAAATTTTAAACTTAGGAGGAAGAAAATTTAATTTTAATAAAACTGAGAAGCTAAATTCGAGAAAAAATGGGGACGAATTTTTTGTTGATTTTGCTTTGGCTGTTTATGATTATGTTATTTATTACGAAGGTTATGAAGTATTGGATTATATAAATTTTTGTTATGAAGAGGAAAAATATTTTAAAAATTATTGCGATTTGGATAAGATGAGTGAACCGATTAATGCTACATTTGATGTTAGTTTAAGATAGGGTTTGACCCCGACCCCGTACCCCGAACCCCGACCCCGTTCCCGAACGATTTTTTCACGATACTCCCCGACCCGAACCCCGCCCCGAAAAAAAGTGAAAACCCCGTACCCCGACCCGAAAAGTTTCGGGGTTATCGGGGTTTTATATACCCAAAAAATGCCATTTTTGGGAGAATTTTAAGTGAAAAATTTTAAAAATTTTCTCCCAATTTACATTGCTTTTATTATTTTCGAAAGAAAAATGAAAGAAATATCAAAATTCTTTTTCCTAGTCTGTTGATAGACTTGTGGTTGAGTGGTTTAGTTGCAGGTTTAGCGTATACTTCCATCAATATATGATTGGGTTTGGATCCAAATAGGGAGAACTCGTTTTTTTAGGATTTTTCTTTACAAAAACAAGAGTTTTTTTTTTAATTTTAAAATGTTAATCTTATTTTTAAATATTGTCAACCATAAAAAACAATGCAAGATTTTTTATTTAGTGTTAAAATTTCAAAAATTTTCGTGCGCAGCGCTAACCCTAAAAAATTCTATGATTTTCGCCTGCGGCTCTGAAAATGTAAAACTCAGCTATAATGAATTGAAGGATTAAGGAGGTTATCGGCGGATGTGATATAAGAAGTTAATCCTTCGCCAGATATGTCAGTTAATCTCTTTAAATCTTTCTTAATCCGCCAAAATTTATTTACCTCCCCAGATATTAGTGTTTCACCGGAACCAAAATTTTTACCAGAACCGGGTCCAATTTTATTTCGTATCCCAGAACCGGACCGGAACCAAAAAACGCCGGAACTTTCCGAAACCGGAATTTCCGGTGAAACACTACCAGATATACATTTTAAATCAATAAAAACCATTAATCCCACCTTATTCTCATTAATTTCTGAATAAATTAACGAAAATAGATCAAAATGGCTTATTTTTAGAGCATTTTTTCTTTAAAAAATTTTTCAGTAAACCCCCGTACCCCGACCCGAACCCCGACCATATTTTGCTCCCCCGACCCGAACCCCGCCCCGAAACATTTCGAAAACCCCGTACCCCGACATACCCGCCCCCGAACGTTCGGGGTCAAACCCTAGTTTAAGATATGTACTTTTAAATCTGGCTGACAACTAGGTTATATCGGGGTTTGTCTGGCTCGTGTCTTCGGGGTTCGAGTAGGGCCTTTTGCCTAGAAATTCGTCGGGGGACAGGGGGCTACCTTCTCGCACCCCGTCGGAGGACAGGGTGCTGCTACCTTCTCGCACCCCGTCGGAGGACAAGGTGCTACCTTCTCGCACCCCGTCGGGGGACAAGGTTCGAGAACCTATTAAGATAAAGAGGCATACCCTGTAGTTAAGATTAGAGCTGAGTGGTATCGGGATCCCGGTCTGACGTATTCTTTCTTGGTCGCTTAGAGAAAGGCAACCTTTTTCCTTGCCGATAGGGGCCTAATAATCGAGATTCTACCGTTATTTCGAAATAAATCTGCTCTCAATTTACCGAAAATTTCCTTAGGTGACCTATAATCGAGATTCTACAGCTTATATTTATGGGTACGACCCAAGTAGGCGCACGGCCAAGTAGGCGCAAAGTCATAACTTGCTTCAAAATTTCCGAATCTTATCAAATTTGGTATTAAACGATTCCTCTCATCGAGCTAAAGAGAATGGTACCTAAATTGTTAAGGTCCATAAATTTTTTAGGTAGTTATGGCTTTGCGCCTACTTGGCCTCGCGCCTACTTGGGCGTGTCCCTATATTTAAAATTAAGGAAGGAAAATTGTATAAAATTGTTATTTTTGTTGATAAATTGGTTGACAATAAAGGACAGACAATTATAAATGTTGGAAATTATACTGATTTTTGGCTTGATTATTTGTGGTTGAACGAAGCTATAAGAGGGAATTCTGAAAATATTCAAAAAATTGCAAAGGCTTTAGATGCTCAATTGGATGATGAAAATAATTATTATTTAAATGGAAAATGTACTGAAATTATATCTGATGGGGAAACAACGATTGGTTTAAAATTTAAAAATTCCAATATGGCACTTAATGTTTCTGGAGGAGATATGGGAGATTTTAGTGTAAGTACAGCAATATTTGTTAAAAACGTCAGTAAAAGGGGTTGAACGAGTTCCGGGATGGTTAAATATCAGTCATATGTATCAGGGCTGGGCGTAATGAAAAAATAAAAAGCGAAATGCGAAACTTTTCGCGCCAAAAAATGCGAGAATGCGAAACGCGAAATTGCGAAATTTGTTCAGAAAAATCGCAAAATAGAAAGCGAAATGCGAAATACGAAACTTTTCGCGCCAAAAAATGCGAGAATGCGAAAGATGCGAAACGCGAAAGTGCGAAATAAGCCCAGCCCTGATATGTATCAGTCCAAAATAGAAACGGTACTTATCGGTTATACGCCCACAAACTGAATGGCAGCCAAATTTGATCGGCTTAAGCGTCTGATCACTCATTTAAATGTTATAAAAAAATAAGTTCAGTTATTTGGTGTTTTCACATTTATCGGGTTATAACTTTTTAACGAGTGATCATACTTCAGCCATTAATTTGGAAAAAAAGATTCCTCTTATCGAGGGCTTTCGAATGATATGAGATTTATTTGAATAGAATCAAGCATCAAAAAGTTAAAGCCTATCAAATTGGGACTGGGCCATTAGGGCGCGGGGCCATTAGGGCGCGAGCTTATAAAACAGTGAGTTGCTTAACAAAAATGATAAATTTTTGCACTGATAACTCTCATGCCTTTATCTACGTTCTCCAAAAATTTCAGAATTTTTGATCAAGAATTTTGGAAATTGTGGCCAAAAATGTTGATTTTCCGAAAAAACCCTAATTTTTCGCGGTCTATCGACTATAACTTCAGAAATATTCAATGAAAAATTCTGAAATTTCTTGAGGAGGTAGTTAAGGATGTTAAAGAAATTTGAGAAAATTTTCATAAAATTCGGTTTCGCCTAAGTGTCAGTTTCTAGTGCTGGCGCCCTAATGGCCCCGCGCTCTTATGACCCCAACCCATCAAATTTGGCTGGCATTCAGTTGTGGGCGTATAACCGATAAGTACCATAAAAACTGCTGGATAAACTAAAGCTAACAGGTACCGGGAAGAGGCCGGGAGGTCGCAGGTTCGATCCTTGCTTGTGGACAAACCCGTGTTTATTTATCCCTTACTTATCTCAAACAAAAAAAAAATATTTTATTTTTCAAGTATAAAAATAAATGTAAACTTGGACTGAAAACTGATGAGGAAATTCAATTAAAATTTTCATTAAAAATTTTGAATAATTATTGTGTTTTGTTTGATACTTTATTGAAACAAATAGCTTTTGCACCTAAAGTGGTTAAGCCGAAGGATATGGAGAGGATTACTTGTAATTAAAGAAAAGAGGAAATTTTAAAAGAGATTTAATTTTGATGTTTAAATTAACTGTTTAAATTAACAAAATGTTCAATTTGAGCCATTTTCTAAATTCTTACATTCAGGAATTGTATTTTTTTATTGCTTCTACTTACCTTCTGTTTTCGCAAAATTTCATTCTTTATCCTCTGTTCGACTTCTGCTTTCGCTTTTTATTTTGCTTTGCTTACCCCCCCCCCTCTCTCTTTCTAACTCACCCCCCCCCTCCCTCTCTTTCTACCTCACCCCCCCCCCTCCCTCTCTTTCTACCTCACCCCATCCCTTCTACCCCCCCCCCCCATCTCTTTCTACCTCACCCCATCCCTTCTACCCCCCCCCCCCCCCATCTCTTTCTACCTCACCCCCCCCCTCACCTCTCTACCCCCCTCCTCTTTCTACCCCTTCTCTCTCCATCCGTTATGATTCCCATATTTAAAATTTTCAAAAATTTTTCAAAAAAATTTTTCAAAAATTTTCAAATAACAGATGTATTATTGTTCTTTTTCCCCTCATTTCTCCCACAAAATTTTCCTTCGTCCAACAACCCTTTTCCTGTTTTTTGTTTGGTTTACGGGAACAGCGATAAAAGGAAAGGAATGCCTAAAAGATCAACCTCCATATGAGAGGGGTGCCTCGCAGGGCCAACACACCAAATAAGCTGGAAAAATCCACTCTTATTCACTCTATTGGGTCTGATGATAAGTTGGGTAGCCTTGTTTGGTTTTGGTTTTTTATTACAATATCTCCACAAGAAGGGAGAGAACAAGGCATGTGGGAGCGGCGTTGGTGACCTTATGAAAGAGAAAAAAGGAAGGAAAGGGAAGGAAGGGAGGGAAAGGAGGGGAGGGGTACCTCGCAGGGCCCCGTTCAGACTGACCGTGCTGGGTTGGATAGCTTTGGACTATACAAACTATAAAAACATTGTGTTCTTTCTTTCCATCATTTTTTAATGTGCCCAAGTCTTCTTCTAATCGATGTACATTTATTTTCCCGATAAGATTTTAGCAAAATTTTATCAAAATTATTGGAAATTTTTAATTCTTTTGATTTTTTTAAAGCCGCAAAAGTGGCAAAATTTGTAGACGTAAAGGTCGCGCAATGATTTAAATTTGAGACAGGCGGGATTATTGATAAACCTTTCGGTCAGTCTCGGACCAACTGGCTTTTGATCCCAAACAGTTTCCTTGATTTTTTCAATAAATATCATAAATTTAAATCTGAACTCAGATTGTGTTATAATTTTAATCCTAACCTGCACTTATTTTTAATAGGGGTTTTCCCCTCGATAAAGGCCTCGTGAAAATTTTTTCCTCAAATTCCGCGACTCTCGATCAGAGGTGGGTCGAATTACGACTTCCGAGTTCCGACTTTTGAGCCAGTTCCGATTTCCGGCTCTTCCGATTTTCGACCCACCTCTGCTCTCAAGGAGATAGAACAACCTAATGTACATATTACAGTCCCTTTTTTATCTTCATTTTTACAATAAACATGGTATTTACCTTATCAAGTGGTCTGATTATTAACCGTTTAAAAATTGATTTTTAATTCTTTTTTTGAAATAATATTTTTTTAAATTTATCTTTAAAGGAATTTTCTTCCCAAATAATTTTTTTCTCATCATTCTTTTAATAAATACTTCTCTTTTTTTCATCTTTTTAATCAGTTATCGTCATTGGAAAACGAAACAATTTTTATATTATTTTTTATATTAATTTTCCCTTATTTTCTTCTTTTTGGGTAGGGCAAAACACCGTCCGAACAATTAACCGTCTGAACTATAGAGTAAAGAAACCCCCGCTCTTTACGGTCAATAAATTCTATTTAGGTCGATATTAAGTTGTTTTAATTAGGGGTCTCAAAATCGTGTTTGAGGGATCCCGCATGCGGGATTTTTTTAAAAGTCTTTGAGGGACGGGATCCCGTGGGAATAATCCCGCAAAATCCCGTAAATCGAAAAGAGTGCGGGATTGCGGGACTATATCCCACAGAATCCCGCGCGAGATCCGGTCCCGCGCCGACCTCTAGTTAATATCTTTAGACCCTAAGGCTATTAGGTCTTGGTTAGTACCATAAATACGCGAAAATTTTTCATTTCGGTTTTTGTTTGAATTAATTTTTGTCTTTCTTTGATTTCGCATTTCGTTTCGCATTTCGCATTTCGTTAAAAAATATTTTCGTTTTGGAGCAAAATTTTATTTTCGTACATTTCTGGCAAATTTTCGTACATAACGCCTTTGCCCAGCACTTTTATTTTAAAATTTGTACCTTTAGGCGATCTGGACGGTATTCTTTACTCGAATGTCTCGACAGTGTTTTGTTTGGACGGTGTTTAGTCCCGTCATATTACTTTTTACATTCAAAAAATTTTTATTAATGCTTTTCTCCCCCATGTTCCTTCTCCTTCATTTTTCCCTATAACTTTCCCCTAGTTATTGGAGTAGAACAACTAAATGTTGGACACAACCGATTGTAAAAAGCAGTTTGGAATGAGAGAAAATTTATTTTTATGTGGTTATCGAGCGATGCGGAGAGTTAGTATATGTGAACACAACACATAAAACAACAAAAATTAAAAATATATTTTTCTGTTAGGCTCCCAAAAATCTTTAATTTAATTTATAATAGTTCACCCATTTTATTAATTTTAGACTGGGACAGTGCCTGATCCGTTCCCTCCTCCCCCTTGTCCATTTTTGTTTACTCCCTAACCCTTTGCGGTCAGAAATGGGTTTGTGGGGTTAAGAATATCAGTGTTAGGGTTTTAAGCCAAAATAAGACGAGGTTGCGTTTCAGGGTCGGGGTTAAACCGTGGTAAACCATGGGCGTATTCCAGCCCTGATTAACAGCAAATCTCATTTGTATCTTTAATTTTGCGATTTTCTATTTTTCAATCTCGATAATCCCTCCCAAATATGCCTTAGGCATTTGTTATTAGTTGAGATAAGTGACAGCGTTAAACTTTGGATGAGATACGTCAAGAGTCCTGTCGAGGTTAAATGAGTACATATGTAGATAAGGCTGATTGAAAATTTCCATTGTTTACTTGTTACTCAAGATTAGCTCATTACAATAATTTACCCAGATTAATTTTTCAATATCATTTAAAATTAAAAAAATTAGAAATAAAATTCCTTTAATAAACACTTTTTTAATTTATTAAATAATTATTTTTTAATTCCTAATTTTCCCCCTTTCTTCCACGTCCTAACCTTTATATATTTCACGTCAGTCCGCCTTTTAGAGCAAATAAAATTTAAAAAAAAATTGATTATATTTTATAACATTTTTTATCGAAAAATTAAAAATATGCAACGTGGCATTCCTTTAAACTTGTGTTTAAAAAATTTTTTTGCATTTATTTGTATTTATTCAAATATTTCAAAAACAAATACAAAAATTGTTTAATCATTCATTTTAAATTTAAAAATATTTATCTGACCATTTAATTTAAATTTTTTAAATTTTTTACATACCGTATTTTCTTTATTAATTCCCCTGGGGAAATATTTTTTCAACCCTTCCTTGGCATGGGGATTTAATCGAGGGAGGGGAATTATTCGGATTTTGGCATTTGAACGTTCAGTAGGGTATTTGGAGGTGGGGAATTATTGTTTCAATCCAACTCTAGCATGGGGAATTATTCAAGGGAGGGAATTAATCGAGAAAATACGGTACTTATCTTTAGAATCTTAGGTCTCCTGTCGTTTAAGGGAGCTCTCTCCTGTCTGTTCTCTGACCATTACGAGGCCAATATAGGTATTCTTTTTTCTAGCAATCAAATTTAATCCTTTACTCCTTATTAACGTTTATTTTTACAAATATAAAACGGGACAGTTGAAATTTGATTCTAAAATTATGGTCTTATAATGGTCAGTGAATGGCGGCTCCCTTAAATGGCAGGAGTACTCCTTAATCTTAGTTTTATTATTTTTAATTTTTCGAAATATTTTTTAATCGAAATATTTTTGTTTATTTTTTTTGTTAAATCAATCACTAACTAAAATTGAATTTTTACACAGTCCTTCCTATACTAATCTCTCTAACACATATGACAACAAAAATGATTAATTTTATTTAAATGACATGTAGTAAATTAGTAATTTTAATAAGTCTCTATTTAATTTTTGTACTACTCTAGATCAGGGCTGCACGCAACTGAAAAATGTTTTCCTCAGTCGCAATATTCAATTTTAATTATAAAATCCGCAAACGCAATCCGCAACTATCAATTGCGTAAACCTTCGCAATTTACGCAATCCGCAACTCGCAATCCGCAATTGCAGTATGTATCAAGAATCTGGCCGACCCGATTCAAGAGAAAAGAGAATTTCTAACGTTTTTGGGTTCGGAGTTCCAAATTCCCGTAAAAGAGCATTTAATTTTAGGTACGTTAGACCCTTGATAAGCATCAGGGATGTGGGTAGGTAAACCCTGATATTTTCCTTTTCCTTTTTTTCATATGTACTTATCAGGGATTGCACCGAAAAAATTCACGATTCCCGAAAATCGGGAATTTGATTTTCCGTCGGTGCGATCCCTGGTACTTATATATTCTCAACATTGTGTTCGAATTTTTAGTCGACCCGGAACCCTATCAGATTATTTCTCAGTCCGACCATCCTTAAAACATATCCCTAAACATATCCCCTATTCTGATTTTCAAATATATTTTAATTAAGACTGCATTTATTTTTTAGATTTGTCCCAATTTTTAAGTATTTATTTATAAAAATAAGGTTTTCTCTCCATTTTTAAATTAAAATTCTCATTTTGCATTAAAAAAATTTTTTTTTTCATTTCGTCTGCTATTTTTCTATTCCATTTTTATATATTTTGTAATTGATCCTACACTTTTCTATTTAAGTGACCCCAAAAAAGGAATATCGCTTCTCTCAACTACTAAAAGCTATTTTTAAATTAAAATAGCTTCTTGCTGTTTTGGAATTAATTAAAAATAAATTATTTGTAATATTATTTTAGTAAAAGTACTTTAAAAAGTAGAGATCGGATTGGGAGTGTCGTAAAAGAATCGAGAGTCTTTAATGGAAGTTTGCTATTAATTTTAATCATTTACAAAATTGTCCGCAAATATTTGTCCGCAAAAAATTTTTTATCCGCAAAATTCTAGTTTGTCCGCAAAATACTAAACTGTCCGCAATAAATTGTACATATAATTAATTTGTATTTTAGATACTGTAATTTTACGATAATTCGAAAAATCTCAATTCTTGGTAACCGAGATTTGTTCAAGATCTCGTCTCGATTCGATCCCTAACTAAAATTTTAATACATAAATTTATTTAAAGCACGAATGAACTTATCATAGAAATCTTTTTTTTCTTTTTTACTAAAAACATCTACCATCTATTTATTTTTAATGGAAGATTGCGATTAAAATTAATTTTATTTTTCTACAATTAAAAAAAATTTTTTTTGATTTTATAATTTTTAAGTTCTTTCCTACTCTAAACAATTCAATTAGTGTTTTTATTGTTCCTTTTTTAACAAATATGTATATTTATAAAAGAAAACTAATCAGAATTTTTAATTAAATATTTAATCATAGTAATATTGGTAGTTTTTTGTCCGCAAAAAATTTGCGGATAAATATGTATATGCAGATAAATATTTGCAGACACTGCTTTAAATTCCGTATTTACTCATAAAAATTGAATATCAAAATTTCGAAACAGTTCTGGAAGGACTGACTAACGTTTAATGTACATATAATTGAAGTTTTATCCGCAAAACATTTGCGGATAAATATTTGCAGACACTGCTTTTCATATTTTTTAATTAAATAAATACAGTAATCCTTATAGAAACCGAATATTGAAATTTTGAAACATAACGGGACAAGAATGACCTTTAATGGATAATTCTGGTTATGTCCGCAAAAAATTGTCAAAAATATTTTTTGTCCGCAAAATATTTTTTGTCCGCAGATTTAAAAAATTTAATTAAAAAATAAATTTATTTATAGTGTAGCATATTTTAAAAATAATTTTATTTTTTTACAAAAAACGTGACTAATCTATTTTAAATAATAGTAATAAAATTAATTTTCCAAAAATTGTACTATCACCATTAAAATAAATTTAATTTTAAGGCTAAAAATTTTTGCTCAATTTTTTTCCAATGTTAATTTTCTATTAAATACCTAAATTGACTCTACTTTTTTATCAAAAATATGCAAATTATCAACAATCAGCCCCAGCATGATTCACCAAAAAACGACCAAAATCCTCCCTCTACTCCCCCAAATAACAGCAAAAAACATCAACAAAATAATCAAAGTCAGCAACGCCGTACTGCCGCCGAACGACGTGCTAGTCATAGACGCAGATCGACTGCGCAGGCGAATGAATTAGTACAACTTGCGCAGTTGCGAAAAGGTGTGAATAGTGGGTTTATATTTGTGTGATTTGTTTTTTTAATCAATGTTTGGGGCAAATTATTTCCATAGTCTTTATAGGTGTTCACTACTAAGGTTGGCGGTTCTGGGTACCCGGAACCGAAAACATACCAGTACCAGTTCCGAATATCCGGAGATTTCCGAGGAACCGTCATCCTTGTTCGCTATCTATTATTAACCTTATATCGGTTTGGATTTGGCTAGGCTATCATGAAAATCTCTAGTTTATATTGGGGTTGTCAGTAAAACGGGGGGAAAATTTGGTGTGCCACTGTGATCCCAAGCCTATCAGAATAAGTTTGTTAAAAAGACGTCACTAACCCCTAACGGCCAAGGAAGGTGGGTATTTCTACTTTTGCTTTTTGGAGTTTGGAGCACCGACATAAAAATAAAATTCCCGGTTTCGGGAATCGGGAATTTTGTCGGTGCGATCCCTGATGCGGACAGTGAGGCAAAGCTAGACCTACCGAAAAGAGTCTTCTCTCGGGAACTACAACAAATTCCCTTTCCCTAAAAGGGAAGAATTTTTTCCTGAGTGAGGAATTTTTTATTACCACACCTTTAATTAGGAACACCCATCTTCCAGAGACCCTTCAAAATTTTTACTGCAAAAATAATTTTTTACTGCTTTTTTACCTTTATAATTTAATGGAACCACAAGGTACATAAACAATAAATAATAAAAAAATTAGTGTATTATCAAGACATTTTAGTGATTAAATTGAGAGAATTGTAATCAAAATTATATTTTTATATTACCTTTATTTTAATCAATTTTTAATTGAATAAAAATTTAAAAAAATTTTATAGGAATTGAAAAAAGCCGTACAAGTCAGGACAGTCCTAATATAGAGAAAATTGTTGAAGAACATCCAACTAAGGAAGAAAATTCTGAGAAGACAATGATTATTCCAAATCAACAAATGGGCAATGTATGTAAATATGACTGAAAATCGCGCTTACATTCACTTTTTAGTCTAAAATTCGTACCTTACAATGTGGAGTAGATTTAATACTAATAGAGGGAGCAGGCCAAGGTACCAAAGGTCAAGGTACCGCCGAGCTATAACTTCGTTCAGAATTATCTAATCCGTGACTCCCTGGTATGGTTCGATGCGCCTAGGTGAGCTGAATCGAAACTTACTAGGGTATCCCGGATTCGACAATTTTGAACGAAGTTATAGTCTCTGAGGTATATTGGGCTCGCGGCACTTTGGGGTGTACTCAAAAGGGGACATCGGTTTAGGAAGTTTTCACAACCCAACCAACTAATACTGGTGCACCGATCCCCCAGAATTGGGAATCCCAAAAACTGAAAATTTGACTGGCCATAAATAAGTCCAAATAATTTTATAAAACAATGAGCTTCTCAATATCAAAGGGTACCAATACCAGATTTCTGAGTAGACCATGTTCTCCCTTATGAGAGATAAAGTGGCCTCTATTTTTCTGTGTTAAAATTCAAATTTTATATTTTTATGAGTCATTCAATAAGATCATATTTAAATTTAATATTCTCTTTATGTAAAAAATTTATAAAAAAAACTTTTTTAGTCAACAAAAACAACACAAAATATATTAACAACAGCAGATTCAGACGAATTTCCCCCAGAACCAACAATTACTGCACCTGGCAGCGAAGAAGAAGAATTTGTCAATAATGAAAATATTTGTATTAATTTATTAGAAGAAGAACAAGTAGCTACTTTAATGCTTTTTGAGGTGTTTTTTGAAATTAAATTTTTAAACTAAGTAAAAAGCAAAATTAAGGTGGCGTCGTTTAGGCGCAATTATGTTTTGGCGCGCGGCTCAACATTGACATGTTGTACTTGCCTAAAACTTTTGAAAAATTTTCCAAACTTTCTTTTACCACATTAACTAACTCCTCCATAAATTTTAGAATTTTTCATTAAGAATTTTTGCGGTCAAAGCCGATGAATCTTGAAAAAACTAGTTGTTTTTACAGAATCGGCATTTTTGCTCATAATTTCTGAAATTTTGGGCTGAAAATTCTGAAATTTTTTGAGAGCTTAGATTAACATACTTGGATTAATTTTGGGCTAAAATTGAGCTTAGCTAATCATATAAATGTTGTTGTTGGAAAAAATTTTTTTGCCTAGATGATCAATTCACTCATTATTTTAAAAGCCTGCGCCCTACAAATCCCGCGCGGTAATTCTTGCGTTCGTACCCCCCCCCCTTTTTTTCATTCCTCAAAGTATTAAAAAATGGTCAGTCTGGTATCAGATTATAGAACTCGTCGAGCTGTGTCGAATGACACCAAAATCAACCCCCAGTCTTAACTTTGGGCCGAGATACAGACCCCAGAATATTGAAAAATAAAAGGGGGGATCAAGCAGATTTTTTGGGATAAAAATTAGATTAAACAAATAATAGCTCATTCGAAAGAGCTTGTCGAGCTGATTCGAATGACATAAAAATCGACGTAATTGAACAAGATTTGACAAAGTTATGACATTAAAGTAATCCTATTGTAGTCGGTGAGACGCTTTTGCTTAACTTGCGCTTTGCCTGGTTTTTTGACTGTATCTCGGCCCAAAGTTAAGACTGTGGGTTGATTTTGGTGTCATTCGACACAGCTCGACGAGTTCTATAATCTGATATCAGACTGACCATTTTTTAATACTTTGAGGAAGGAAAAAAAGGGGGGGGTACGAACGCAAGAATTACCTCCCGCGCCATAACGACCTCATTTTTTAATATTTTTTATTAGAGTAAATTTTGGACTTTGACTATTTTTCCTCAAGAAATTGGGACTTAAAAATTAAAAAAAAATTTTTTTAACAAAATTATAGCCATCCCCAACATCTTCCACCACCTCTCCACCAATCAGAACAACACCAAAAACAACAATAAATAAAAATATTCCAGATATCCCCCCTCCATCCCATCCATTCAAACAAAAATATTACCACCAAAGAAGTATTTCTGATCATTTATTAAATTATTCTAGTTCAAAAAATATTCAAAAACAACAACTTAAAAATCAAGAAAAACCGTTTGGAGAGGACAACAATCCTCCTCCAAAATATATTTATTCTTCTCAGGTACTTTAAAAAATGAGAGAGTTATCTTGAACAATTGGCTTTTGCTTATTTTTAAAGAGAGTTTTGTGTCTATTTATTTTTTTGCTGATTGCAAGAGAAAGGAAGGCTTTCTTTGTTTTTTTTTGAATTTTGAAGGAATATGTAGGCTATGTTTGTTGTCCTTACAAGCTTGCAAAAATCCCCCCTGTCTCTCCCCCTCCCTCAACTTGCAAAAATCCCCCTACCTCTCCCTTACTCCTCTCCTTTAACCATTTAATTTTTTGGTTAGGCATGCAATTTATTCTTTAATTTTTTTATAAGGTTTTGATTTATTGTAGAGATCGGACTGGGAGTTTCCTACGAGAATCGAGATCAGGGCTGGACACAACTGAAAAAATTTTCCGCAACCGCAATCCGCAGTCCGCAAGTTCAAAAAAGATGCAATTTCATACAATCCGCAGTTGCGTCCAGCCCTGATCGAGGATCTCGAAAAATTCTCGTCTCGATGACGAAGATTTTCGATCGAGATTTTAGGTCTTGATGCGATTTCTAATTTATTATTTATTCAAAAACCTTATCAGTTTACATTTATCAATCTACACTTTTCTAAAAATTTGAGCAAAAATTCTTCCTTGTTTACAATTTATTTACATATTTAAATGTAAATCTACTTATCTAAACCAAAAATTTTCACTTTAATATTTTTATAAAAAATTTTTTTTTAATTCAAAATAATAAATTCGTTTTTGTTCAGAGATGGGTTTTCTGATTTAATTTTTTTTTCATATTCGTATTTTTTGATTGTTTTTTTTTCTCTAAGCTTGCTTCCTTAATAATCGGTCTTCATTTTCAGTTATTACCCACAAAACTAGATAGACCTAGTTTAATTGTATTTTTTAAAATTTGATTGGCTTATAGGGTACTACGATCCTCATTAGGGGAGATAAATAAGGTCTGGGGATGTATCAGGGATCCTTTTCTCCGGAATTTATTTTTTATGTTGGCAGGGTCCCTGTTTTGTAAATAGAAAATAAAGTTTAAAAAAATTTTAATGAGAAAAAAATTTTTTTCTTTTAAAAAATCCAATTTCCCTTATAAAATAATTTTATAAAAAAATAACATGACTTTGAGAATTTTATTTTTTTAAATTCACAAAAAACCACATTTAATTATCTTATCAAAAAAACTTTTGGGAAACTTCTGGCTTCTATACAAAAAAATTGTTTAAGGAAGTTGAGAAGGGAGCAGGCCAACTTACCGCGAGCCCATCTTACCGCAGAGCTATAACTTTGTTCAGAATCGTCGAATCCAGGACGCTCTGGTATGTCTCGATACGCCTCGACAATCTGAATCGAGCCATACCAAGGTGTCCTGGATTCGACAATTTTGAAGAAAGTTATAGCCTCTGCGGTAAGTTGGACTCGCGATAAGTTGGGGGTTTACCCAGTTGAGAAGATGATTTTATCAATTTCCTTCCCTATTTTTATTGTTGTTGATTAATATATTTTTTTATAAATTTATTTATTTTTATAAATTCCTTTCTTTCTTAAGAATTTATTTATTCATTGTACTTATTTTTAAATAGTTGAGAAAAGCTTTATTTTTATCTTAATGGAATTTTTTTATAATTTATTTCTAAAATATACCAACTTTTAAAAAATTTTCTCTCATTTTTAAGCTTTAAAAGAATTTTGTATTTTTGTTAGGTTCTTTTAGATCACAAAAATCTGCAACTATATTTGGTCGCAAGTTTCTATATAAAGGATTAGGGTTGCCAAATTGGACCGAAATTCGAGTCAGGCCTAAGATATTTGGCCTGAAAAAGACGTATGCTTTTTTGGGGACACGCCCAAGTAGGCGCGCGTCCAAGTAGGCGCAAAGCCATAACTAACTGAAAAATTTATGGACCTTAACAATTTCGGTACCATTCTCTTTAGCTCGATGAGAGGAATCGTTTACTACCAAATTTGGTAAGACTCGGAAATTTTGAAGCAAGTTATGACTTTGCGCCTACTTGGCCGTGCGCCTACTTGGGCCGTACCCGCTTTTTTGGTATCCGAAGACTTTAAAAGGACTGGCACCACTAAATAGTCTTTATCAGAAAAAACATAATATCACTCAAATTCTTCCCAAAACTGAATGATCAGAAAACTAGATGATCATTTAAGGAATGATCAGGCCTGATCATAATAATTGATTTTTGCGTGTAAAACCAAAAACCGAAAAGAACCATTTTTATTGTAACCAAACAAATTGGACCGGTGGGCATAATTAGTAGTAGCTTTGAGAGATAGCTTCAAGTCTGGCTTCTAAGCCAAGATTTTGAGATGCCCGAAGTTGAGCGGGGCCTCAAAACGCCCAATACACAGGACAAGATACCCCCTATTATTTTTTCAAAAAATTTTTTCTTCTCCCCTTTAAAAACTAATTAAAAATGCACCAAAAAAAGGCAAAGTCATCAAAAATTCTTTTATTTTTTTTAATTGCCTTTTTTTGCGCGTTTAGATCGATTACATTTTTTTGTAATAAAATGCTCTATTATTTGTCTAATAAATACAGTTTTGACATTTGCACATTTGCATCTTCCGTCTCATTTTTTTATTACACAAGAAAAACCGTTTATATGTATAAAAATTATTTTTATTTTTTATTGTTGCGATAAATGCGCGCTATAAAATTTTTTTGTTTTGGCACGTTTGGGCGCTCTATCTTTTAGCTAATCGGACCTCACTACAGGGTAGCTTAACTGGAGAGTCTCTCTTTTGGCTCTTTTTTGAAAGCTTTTTTTGGCTATCGTCTAGATAGCTCCCCAAATTAGTGGCCAACCAAATTTTTAAAGGCGTCTCTTAAATTGAGGTTAATCCAGTAATAGGTAGACAACCTTTCCAGTTTCAAAACTCCTTCCTAACATTTAGACAGCTCCCCAAATCATGGCTGTAATAGTCGGTTTCGTACCCCCCCCCCTTTTTTTTTCTTCATCTTTCCTTCTCTATCTCCTTTAAAGTCATCATGAAAATTAAGGGAGAGAGAAGGAATTAGTGGCTCTTTTTTGAATTTACCTTCTATTTAATATACTCATCATTATAAGGTATTTTTCATCTCCAAAATGTTATCTTATAATGCAATTCGACTATAGGAGATAATCTTGAGTTTTCTAGATATGAGCCTAATAAACGCCCAACGGTTATTTCGCGCCAAACCCCCTTCCTCGCTCTACCTCCCCCTCCACCCTCCCCTACCTCCCCCCATTTTTGTATACAAAAACATTCCTCCACATTTTTCATATTTTTCTTTTATTTTTATTTTATTTTTTCAGTTGGACAGTGAATCGCCTTTAAACCTTCAAAACAACAAATATAATAACATCAACACCAAATTTTCAATGGCTGCAGCAACAACAAAAAAGAAAGCTCCTATTCTTGCTCAAATTCGTAGACTTAAGCGAGAAGAGGTATGTAGCTAGAAAAAAAATTATTTTTTTTATTTTCAAAAAAATTGTGGGATTGTTTTTGTTATCTAAAATTTGAAATTGAATATTTTTAAGCTCAAACAAAAGTCATTGAAAATGCAAAAAATTATTTTCCTAATTTTTTACAAAATTTTAAATTTAATTTTTTATTATTTTTCCCCTCTAATTTTCTTTATTTAGTCTCGCCTTCAATTTACAGTCAGACCTCACTTTAGTAGACACCCATTACTAGCCACCTTTCTATTTAAGGGACGTTTTTTAGAATTTAGGGGGTCGTTTGGGTTGGAGAAACTCCCTATAGGCGATAGCTTCTATTTAAGCTACACTTCATTATAAGAGACAACAGGGAGTCTCATTTACAGGGAGTCTCTCTCTTTTTTCAGCAGGGAGTCTCTTTGTGGTCCGACCATCTATTTTTTGTATCGCTGGATTGGAGAAGCTATCTATAGTCGATACCTTCTATTTAAGCTACACTTCATTATAAGGGACGAATTTTTTCCTCACCAGGGAGTCTCTTCTAGCGGGTCCAACCATCTATTTTTTAGTATTTTCATAGAAAAAATTTTTTCAGGAATTTAATGATCAAATGAGCGCTAATGATTACAACACTGAACCAGAAGAAGAAGAAGACAATGACGACAAATATTATGAAAGTTCAGCAATAGAGGATGACGATATTGAATTTACCAACAGACTTAGCCGTCCACAACAACGTTTAAATAGAGTTTGTAGTGGGGATGGAGAGCTTGTTAAACTTCGAAATGTTCATAACAACGAGGATGATTTCTCCCCTCCTCCACCTTCATTTACTACTACTCCAACTTCTCTTTCGTCCTTTTCTGCTTTAAAGGCGGCAACTGCTTTGGCTGGTGTTAATTTGTCTTTGGCTAGAGGGTGGGTTTAAATTTTAAAATATTTTGAGAATTTACAGTCGGACTTTACTTTGGGGCTGAAAGAATTTTGTACCATATAAGGAGTTACCGTATTTCCTGAAATAATTCTGCCGGCAGTACTATTTTTCAACCCTCATTTAAAGGGCAGTACTATCACAGGGGGCAGTACTACGGTATCCTCTTAACTAGAGAGTACATTAAAATGAAGGGTATTTAGATAGAGAGTACCTTAAAATGAAGGGTATTTAGATAGAGAGTACCTTATAATTAAGGGTGGGGGTTTCGAGTCGGACCGACGTTCGAGTCATTTTTTGGGCTTCATTTGTAGTGGACCGGACCTACCGAGTCTTTTTCGGGCAAAATTCAATGTCTGACTCGATCCTTCGGACCGGACCGGGCCCCCGATCCTACTTATAATTGAGGGTATATTAATTAGGGGGACCTAATTGTGGTTATCTTATTGGGTTGACTGTGAAAAAAATAATTTTGTTCATTATGGTATTAAGCAGGCAAATTAATTTTGAGTTTTTTAAGACGACACAAGACACACAAAAAAAATTTTTTTTATGAAAGACTACAAGACTAGAATATAATTGAAGTTGTTTGTGTCTCTTATTTTTATCAAAAATTTTTGTACAATTATAAATTTTTTTTCGATTTTTAAAATACAGTCAGATTTTGGGGTAAAAAATGCCCCTTATTTTTAATACTACCTCAATTTTAGATACGAGTAAAAAAATTTTTTTTGCTCTGGGGGAGGTCAAGGGTGAACGATAGGGAAGCTTTCAAAAATGCATGACGTTGCTCTCACCCCTAGCTGCCCAAGTGATACCCATAATTTTAGGTACTCTTTGTCCCGGGCCTCCAACCCTACTTAGGTACTTCTTCAGCCCCAAGGAGGTTTTTAAAACCGAGGTCCGATTGTACATATTATTTATTGGTACACTAGCTTAACCTATGCTTTACCCTATTTTTTATGTTAATTTTTCCTTTCTTTCTTTTCCTATTCTTTTTATGTGCTATTTTTCCTTACAGCCTTGAAAACAGCTCTATTCCAACCAGCAATACTTCAACACCTTCCAACACCAAAACCAAAAATAGCAACAAAAAAAGCGCCTCATTTTCTTCTACGCCTTCATCTTCTTCAGGAATTGCCAACCTATTTTCTCTAGGAAATCGTTTTTCAACAAATCGGCAAAATTCTGACAGCAGTCTATTAAGACGGAATAGCCAAAAAGTTGAGGAGCAACAACAACAAAATTTGCTTTGCAGTCGTCGCTCCTTTAAATGGAAAAATCTTTGGGGGCGGAAAAATAGTGGGACATCCATTGACGATAGCAATATAGTTGTGGGATCAAATGTCTCAAAAGGAGGATCAAATGTCTCAAAAGGGGGATCAAATGTCTCAAATGTCTCAACTCCAACTGGGTCTCTGTTTTCAACAAAAAGGGCATCTAGCCAATTATTAGACACTTTAATAGAAGATACTGAAACATTTTCAATATCAGGAGGAAGTAAAGAAGATGAGCTTAAACAAAAAAGAAGGCTAAAAAGACATTCGGCTTTATTGTTAGTTGAAGGGAATGATAAAGAAGAGGGGAAGGGTATAGAAGAAGAAGGAAAGGAAAGAAGCTTTAATCAGAACGCCAATACAGCTTTAACCCCAGTACGCTTTCGAACGGCTAATCAGATGTTAAATAGTTCTTCAAAAGAAGAGAAGAGTGAAAGAAGAGAAGAAGAAAAAACAGAATGCCAAGAAATTCTTTCTTCATCAATTTTGCAGCAAAGACCATTTTCAATTATTGGCACAGGGCAGGATAGTGAACCCTCACTTATTAGCTCCTCTAAGGTTCATAATATGCTGTCAGTTGAAGAGGAAGACAGTAGTGAACAACAATTACTGCCAAATGAACAATTGGCCCGTTATAGAATTGAAGAAGACCTATTGGAACGTTTTGACGAATTTCTTTTTAAATGCAGACGAAAGGGGTTGAGAACATTGAGAAATGTAAATGAAGATAGTTTTGGAATGGAGGAAGAAGAGGAAGGAGAAGATAATGGAAGGGAGGAAGAAGAAATGAGGAAAATCATTAAAAAATCTTCAAAAAATAGAGGTAGGAAGAGGATGGAGATTTTGGCAATTTTCAAGTTCGTTCCTTCCCTTTTCCCGTAAAAAGGCTCATAATGGTCAGACCTCCTTTCTCAATTGCACTTTATTTCTCTATGGTTTTTTAACAATATTAGAAATTAAGAATACGAGGAAGAGGCCTGATCCCTGTTATTCCGCCAAAGGGCTCATAATGGTCAATCTTTCTTTCTCAATAGCACTTCATTTCTCTACAGTATATAATTATTCAGCCAAGGATTAGAAATTAATAAAACGAAGAAGAGGTCTGATCATTATTTGTTCTCCCTGTTCATCCGCGAGGGCTCATAAGAGCTCATAAATCTTTCTTATTGGCATTATATCTTTCTACCTTATACTTACCTAAGTATTAGAAATTAATAACGCGAAGAAGAAAATCTAACCATTATGAGCCTTTTGGCGAAAGAAAAGAGAAAGGAAACGAACTTGAAACTTACCAACCTTTTTAATGATTAATAAGAGAAAAATTTAGGAAGAGACGGAAAATTAGACAAAGAAGAAGATAATTCACTTCAAAAATCAGCAACATCCTCAACCTTGCTTAAAAAACCAAATCACAAAAAAGTCGAAAGAACAGCTCCTCCACTCCCTCCACGACTTTCACGAGCTACTCGTCGTTCTACAAATTGTTCTCCAATACTTTACATCAGCACATGTCAAACACTCGATAGACGACAAAGTAATAAAAAATTGGCTCTTCATAGAGCTGTTTCAAGTAGGGCTAATAATCTGACGAATTTGACAACAAGTTCTTCGCCCTTTTCGTATACATCAACACTTACACTTCCTCGTAAACGTCCTCCTCCTCGAGGCGTATCAACACAGCAAAGAAGGAGAGGAAATATTACGTCAGCAGCTACTCGAAGGAAAAGTATCGTGCAGCTAGCTGTGGAGGATTCTGTTGAACTGGCAGCGATTGTTGCGGCGGTGGAAGAGCATGAAAAGGAAGATTTGAAGGGGGAAGGAGGAGGTGATGGAGAAGGTCATGAAGATGCTCATGAAGAAGGTCATGAAGAAGGTCATGAAGAAGTTCATGAAGAAGTTAAGGAGGTTGAAAGGGTTAAAAATGAAGCTGAAGCAAGACAAGTAGAAGATGAGAAGCAGAAGCTTAAGGAAACGAAGCAACAAACACAGCAACAACAACCAGCAATGTTCAGAGTTAAGTCCTCCAAACATTTGACTACTTCCACCAATCATCACAGCACAAAATGTGCAATATTTAGACATTTATTAGGGGCAACTACAAACAACAATAATAACCGTGTTTGTGGAGGTGGAAAAGTTGCACCAAAAAATAATGGGACCTTGATCACTAGCAGCAACAACAATTTGGGTAATGCAACAATAAGTGGTGGAAGTTGTGTTGCTGAAATGGCTATTGATGGGGCTGCTAATAGGTGAAATTTTTTAATTTTTGTTGCTTTTATTCTTTCCTGTCATCTTTTTGTTTTTTTGTTTGCTTTGCTTTTCGTCTTTGTTTTTTTAATTTTTGTGAGTTTGGGAGATTTTCTAGGTTTGAATTATGCCTAGGCAAAATTTAAAAAATAAAGTCTGAGCGGGCTTTTTGCAATGAGTTTGAAGAATATAGATTTGTTAAGATCGAAACCTTATAAATTAGCAGGAAATAAAATAATCAAGATATGACCAAGACGAGATTTAACCAGAAAACCTTGATTGTTGAGATGGAAGTCTCGATAACTTAAAATAACTTAATCAAATTTTTAAGAGTTTTCTAGGTCTCAATAAGACCTCGCTTTTCAAGACCCCATAAACTACACCCTTGGGGATAATGAGGTTTATCATAAATAGAGTAGGGTTCGACCCCCGTTCACCGGGGCAGGGAATTCCCCGGGGAACGGGTTGAGGTCCCCGTCCCTGCTGTTCGCATTCCCCGCTTCCCCCGTTTATTGTAAAATTTTTCCCCGCTTTGAGAGGTCGCACCCTAATATAGAGGGATGTGTTTCACCTTGTCCTCCACCCATGATTAACCAAAATTTTTAAAGAAACATATCCTAGATTGGTGTGTGTCTAGTTTTTGGGGGCTGTTTTTATGTGATTTATAAGGCTTCGATCTCTATTTTTTAAGCATATTTTTTTTTAATTTCTAAAAAATTTTTCTTTAAAGAACAATTTCTAAAGACAACAAAAAGCGTGAAACAAAAACTAATTCAATGATCCTTGGGACAATATGGTCAATTCGCCCTCGTCGTAAAAAAGAAAGTAATGCTCAACGTAGTCTAGTCAATTTATGGGCTTCTCAATCCCCTACAGAAAATATTAGTGCTAATATTGCTGCTGATGTGTCTGTTGCTAACAAATCTTGTCCTAATGGCAACGGTGGGGTTTTGAATTTTTCTAAAAATAAATTAAAGACACACTCACTTTAACGTGTTGATACGAGCGAGATTTGGATTTCGCAAATAAAGTTTTTCGATCTACAGTTATTTACGATTAGAGCTTCGACTAAGATTCTAGTTCCTGTTCCTGTCCGGAACCAAAAATTATATCCGGATCCGGCCAAATTTGCGGTTCCGGCGAAGCACTATTAACGATATCAAGTCTAAAATATCACGTCTCCTTTATTTTACGGCCGCACCTGGGATCGTACCGATAAAGAATATATTCCTGATTTTGGAAATTCCCGGCCCTGAAATCCTTGCTAAGCCCTAGTTTTGGTAATTGGAACAGCACGTTCCTTGCCCTTAGAGTTCAATCACGAGTGATGTGTTTTAGTCATCGATTCTTGCAGTCATAACAATAGCTTTCATTATAGCGGTCGTGCCATCCTATCGAGATTTGACCATTGATCTATAATCTTTATCTGACCCTCAAGTCTCTATTCATGATAATATATTTTTTCGGAATTTTTAAAAATATCTTTTCTCCGTTTTCACATGTTAAAAGTGAGTGTGTCTATTTAAAAAATAATTAAAAAAAACTTTAATAAATTATTAATAAATGATATATTATTAATTAATAAAAATATAACAGGAAATAAACAAAATAGGGGAAAAAATGAAACGGAACTTAGAGCAATTAATTATTAAAAAAATAAAATAAAAATATTTGCATATAGGAAAAATTAAAAAGAAAAAGTGGCAAAAAAATTTTTTTTAGCAAAATAAAAATACCATTATAAAAATTAGTAAGGAATAAACCAGCAAAAAAATTTAAAAAAATATTTTTTCTCTATTATTTTTCTAAAAATTTTAGTTAAAATTAGTAAGGGGTTGAAATTGAAGTTATATTATAGCCTGTAGTTTATACTAAATAAAAATTTTTTTAAGAAAGTATTGATAGGTTGAAAATTAAATTTAGTCTTTTTTTTATTTTTTTAATTTACTAAGTTTGATTGGTGTGTGATTGAAAAAAAATATTTAATTTATTTTTTTTTTGATTTTTATTTACCTTAAAAATCATGCACCTTTTTTATTTTTAAATTTTATTTTCTCTTATTTTTTTCTAAATTTTGAACATTTTCTAGTATTTACTATTTTTAATTTTTATTAATTTTTGCGTGGGATCATTTATTTTTAGAATACCAATATTTTTATTTTTCTAAAATTGAATCTATTTTTTAAATACATACATACCTATTTTTGATATTTACTATTTTTAATTTTTTTCTAAAATCGTGTTTTTGCGTGGACACTCATTTTTTGTAGATCATATTTATAATTATTTTTGGGTTATTTTAGGGTTATGTTTATTTTTAAACTTTAATCAGTTTCGATTTTTGAATTCCCAGTGTCTTAAGTCAACTATCAAGTTAGCTTTTCTGAAAGATTTCGATCTGTTTTTTCCAATGTTTTCCAAAAAAACCGAAAATAATTTTCAAAACCGTGGGGGTAAAAATACTATTTTAGGATCCTTAAACAATTTAGACATCTTTATAGATAAGTTTTCTTGAATAACTCCTTATGTGGGTATTTAATCAACGGAGAGAAATTATTTGAATAAAAATCTTACCAAGGATTGTCAGCCCTTGGAAAGTCTTCAATATCCGAACTTGACTGAAGGAAACTGACCCGAAAGACTTATCATCCGAAAAGTCGTTGTTTCTTCAGTTTCATTCCGAACCGAAACCCCTAGTCAATCATCCTTTTAAGTTTTATTTTTATATGAATGATCTCTGATTTTTCTACCAAAATCTTTAACTTTTAAATTTAAAATCCACACACTTTTTTTATTAGAATACAAAATTAGGCGTATGTAGAAAATAAAAATAATTTATTCGGGCAAATACATATGTATATAAAATGACAGAAAAAAATTAACTGGAAATTTACTCCTTTTTTTCTAAATTTTTATTTTGGGAAGTAATGAAGAGGAAAATTTATATTTAATTAATTTGCGAAAAGTTGTAAATAAAACAACAAAAAAAAAATTATTTTTTCTTCGATTACTACAACAACATTTAATTTATTTTAAATGCCGCGCCTGTTTTAATTTGTGTTTGACTGATCATTTTTTTGTTGTTGTTGACTAATTAATTTAAAAAGACAATTTAAATAAACATTAAAAAAATTAATAAAATCATTAACCTTTCATTATTTATTTTTTAATTACCTCGATTAATTTTTTACCCTCTCCCCTTCTCTCCCATTTGCAACGTAAGGGAAAGGAGTAATTAGTGGTAGAGATCAGACCTGGTCAAGGATACTGATTTCGGTATCCGTATCCGAATATTTACGGCGGATACAGACGGATACATGCGGATATACGCAGGCATTTTTGTATTATCTGTATCCATATCCGTATCCATGACCAAGTCTGGTTTGTGGACCGAGACGAGATCTCGATCATAAGTTAAGTTATCGAGATCGTAATTTTTCGAGATCTCGATTCTCGTACGACCAGTCCGATCTTTGATTAGTAGTAATTACCTTATTAATTACATAATAATTAATCCGTGTCACTTTCAAATTTAAAAATTTAAATTTTTATTCCCTCGAATAATTACTCCCTCTTATTATTTTTTTTTCAAAAATATTTTTATACGTATAGTATTTCTGTTCCTAGAAATCTTATCTTGTTAATTTCTTCTGATCACTCAACTCTGTTTAAGTAGTAGATAAATTATCTAGTATTATTATCAAGTACCATAGTCTATTAATTTTTAAAATTGACATAAAAATAGCTTTGCGTCTTGCGACAGAATATAACACTTAGGAGGACTTTTCCCGTTTTCCCCTCTTTAATTTTTCTGTCGCATGACACAAAACCATTTTTATGTAAGCATAGCACAAAAGTGACGAGGGTCTAAAAATTAGGGAGAATTTTAAAGATCAAGTGCCTCTCCCTTGAATAACCACCTCTCTCGATTAATTACCCCCTCTTCTCTCCCTTCTCTTGTGATAATTTTTTTATATTTTTAAACCGAGATCCGACTGTATTATTAACAATATATTCTTTATTCATTTCCACTCCCATTTAAAAAATAAAAATTACGGGAGCGAAAAATATTAAAATAAATAAATAAATATAAAAATTTATATTTATAGCATTAATCACAAGAAAAAAAATTTTTATATAAAACAGGAAATTTTTGATTAACAGAGAGAGGAGAGAGAGAAAGCATTTTTTTGTTGGATATTTTTTTATCATTAATATGTAATGGCGTTTTTTGTTGTTGTTCTTGTTGTTATTATTATTGTTGTGTGGGCGTTTTAACTAACTTTAGAAAGGAGGGGGGAAGGGGGTTGTAGTGATTGCGGTTTTTACGTGCTTTTAGTTTTACGCATTTTCTTTTCTCTTTTCATAATTTACTTGCAAAAATCTTGTTCCTTTTATTTTATTTTTAAAAAAAATTAAAATTGTAATGATTAGCATATAAATAATTTTTTTTTCAATTTTGTCAGAGGTTGTTAAGGATAGTAACGAGAATCTTATTAAGGATAGGATCGAAGAGATAGGATCGAGAGAGAAATAAATTTTAGAGTTGTGATCTTTCGAGATCGAGTCTAATCTTTAAGGTTGTTACTTTTTGGAAAATTTTTCTGTTATCCAGAACTATACCGAAGCGAGAATAACTGAAAAATCCATTGACTATTTTTTGGGGTCGAACTGATACCCCCACTAATCTATTTTTCTATTGAATGCCACCCCTTAAAAAATGCCTCTCTGGAAGTTGATTGAAAAATAGAAGGCTATGGAATTCTATTAGTTCCTCTAATACGTTATTTCAATTCTGGAAATTTTCATGCAACTTTAAGATGAATTTCTTTAAGCCCTTCGGCGTCTAAAACAGATTTAAGGTATAATTTCGGTTGCCTAATTTTAATTTATTTTTTTCTCTCATTTATAAATTTTTCCTCTTATCCATTTTTTCAATTTTTTCAAAATTTTATATTTCCATTAATTTTAATTTATTTTTTCTACCTTTCTTCTCGTCCTTAATTTTTTAGTTAGCACTTTGTGTTATCATCAATTAGAGAGATATATCTCCTCCTCCCTATTTTTTTTCTTCTTCAAAATTTTCCGCCACTATTCATTACGCGTTACCTTTTAATTATTTTTTTATGTTGAAAAACTAATTTTTTTACCAAAATTTTATGCTCATTAACCCTTGAGTACATTTTCTTTTATTTTTTGAAAAAAGTCGCGGTCATACAAAAATTATTTTTTTAGCTTCTAATTTTTTTAGAATGATCATTTGATTGTTAATTTATTTTTGTTTATTGTTTACTCTATTTTGATAACGAAAAAAAAATTTTTTTATCTAAATTTTATTTTTTAAACGTCATAGTTCTAGTGTTTCTATAAATGACTTAATTTTCAAGTACTCCTTCCGTTTAAGGAGTCGCCGTTGTTAGACTATTAGGAGACTATAATTTTGGCACCATATTTCAATTATCGCTCATATTTGTGCAAAATGAATATTAACATGGTTTAAAGGAGGATTTATTTTGATTGATAGAAAGTAACGTAAAAATACATTGGTCTCATAATGGTCAGAGTATTTTTTCAATTATTTTCTATTTTTTCTTGAAGAGAATCTAAACTTATCGAGTTTCTCTAAATTCTTTTGCTTCTTTTCGGAATTTTCGGCGAATAATTTTTTCTTGAGTCTCCCTATTTCTGATCTTTTCCTAACTTGGAAAATTTTAAAATTTTAATTCCATGTACATATTCCAATTTTTCTTAATAAATATTCACTTTTCCATGTTTTATTCTCTTTTTCTATGTAAATCTTTTGATTTTGAATTTAACATTTCAAATTTAATTTTGGAAAGGATGACATATCGGCCCCTGTGATGGAAATTCAATTTTTTCAAATAAATCCCTTTCTAGATTTATCCATCATTGTTGAAAAATTTTGTATTCTATCGGAACAC